AGAAGGAGGACAGACGGAGCCGTGCAGAAAGCACACTGTCTGTGAACCAGAGTTTCCTGGCACTCCGGAGACGCCGGGATGGGGAAGGTCCCATTACACACGCAGACCTATTGTCCTGGGTTCTTCCGGGCACATCAGGCGACCACCAGCTGGTCCCAGCTGGGTTCTTTCCCAGGGTTGATCTCATAGGAGCTGACATGGCAAACACTGCCCACCCAACATCCATTCTTGTCTTTTTCTCATTAAGAAGGACGTGGGTTTTTCTTTTGCGTGCATGAGGAGCAGGGGTTGAGGAAAGAGGGGTGGCTAGCCATGTCCCCAGCTGAGAAACTGCATTTCTCATCCTCTCCTGCTGATGGAACTGATCATGTGATACAGTTGTGACCAAAGACAAAGGTTAAGGGCTTCTGAGAAAGCTTTGTTCTCGTAAAATAGGTGGGCCCCACCATTCTCTGGTTTGCCTTTCTTTTTCCTGGAGGAACTTCAGGTGCGTTGGCTGGACGTACAGCGGTCAGTCATCCTGTGACTGATTATGAAGGAAAGGTTAAGAAAATCACACAGAAGTTGGTTCTGAATCCATAAGTTATTGCACTGGCTCCGAACTTATAGCCCCTAGACTTCTTACGATATGAGGGAAAATTATATCTCCATCTTCTTTAAGTCATGGACATTTCATTTTGTCTGATTTGTGTGTATGTTCAAATACAATTTCTAATAAACTTAGAACTCAAAAGTGCCCCCGTCTCCCCAAAGGAGAAGGGCTGGGTTGCCCACCATCAGTATAAGTCAATAGGGGAAACCCCATATTTGGAAATAATAAACCAAATATTATCAGGGTAGATTTTTATATTTAAACATACACATCAAAAAAACTCTTAGAATCAAATAAGTTAGGGGACAAAAAAGGATTTTTCAAAAACAAATGATATGGCCTCATGCTCAGAGTGTCATTTTTTTAATTCTCGCCCTAGGATATATTTCTAGATTTTAGAGAGAGAGGAAGGGAGAGAGAAACACTGGTGTGAGAGGGAAACATCGCTGGGTTGCCTCTCGTACTCACCCGGACAAGGGATGGAACTCACTACCTAGGTACGTGCCCTGACCAACAACTGAACTCAGACCTTTTGGTACACGAGACAGCGCTCCAACCAACTGAGCCACCTGGCCAGGGCAACGTGTAATTTTAATATTGAAGTATCTCTTACGAGATGAACTTAAAAAGTCCAGACCACACGCTTGGGAAACATGTGAAAGAGCAGAAAATTCATGTTTACCTGGATGACACTGAAGAGCAACAGATCTCATTTCTTGTTGTAGAAATGAAACTAAGGCAGCAGGAAGGAGATGCATCAACCCCCATACCACCTCTGCTCTTAGAGACTAAAGACCCAGCTAACTAACTAAAGGGAGCAAAGCCTTTAAGACGAAGGAGAAAAGGCCTAAGAAAGGAACCACCTGCTGTTGCTTAACTGGCCTTACAAACATTTCTTTTCCCATGGATGCAGGCTCTGTTTTAACAGTGTAACAATGAAACAACAACAGGACTTGGACCCTCCCCGCTCAGCTGATTCCCACACCCCGGCAGCAAACTAATCTTTGTGAAATCGTGGGGGAGTCCGGCCTTTCCCAGGAGAGAGCCGAGATGGAGGAGGCTGGGATGAAAGGCTGGCTCTTCCACCTTTGCCCCTGGAGGTGCGGCCTGAAGTGACCCCAGGCAGCCTCCGTGTCCTCTTCTCTGCTCCCTCCCTCCGCCCCACCTACCATAATAATGTTATCACTCCTTTGATATCTCCAAGTAGGCCGGAAGTGGAGTGTTCACCGGAGTGATTTGATGATGTCAAGAACACAACAGCAAATTCAAACCTCAGGCAGGGCGTGCGTTCTGTGCTCTGCAACCACAGCCACCAGAGCCGCGTGGTTCCGGCGTCAGGGTCTGAAACACGCTCCTGGAGGCCCCCTCCGTCCACCGGTGCTTAGACCCACCTCTGCGCTTAGTCAGGCTGCACCGCACAGGCAGTCTGTGGGCTGAGCAGAGTGGAAGGATAATCGGGGGGCAATAGATGCTTCTGCGCTTTGTTCACGTCTAATTAAGGGAGTGGTTAACTGGAAACCACGAAGCCCCAGGAGAGGAAGCCGGGAGCGGCTCCCGTGTGCACAATGACCTTTTACACTCGGGCACGGCAGTGGTGCATCCTCGTCGTGGGTTTCCCTGGAAGCGCTGTTTCTCGGGGTCTAATTAAAGTGGCCCGCGGCTGAGAAAATGACTGTAAACCCCACGTTTTGTTTCCACGACTCCCTGCACACTAGAGCTAGGTAAAAAAAAAAAAAAAATGCTCTGGAATCATAAATAACTCCAGTAGGAACTGAAAGGTGGGCCTTGTGGGACTTGAAATTATACTGCACGGCGTGAAATGCCTGCTCAGTGAGTCCCTGAACCTCGGATCATAAGAAAAGACGGCCAAAGGGCCCATCAGCACTTAACAAACTAAGCCACCGTGCCTTTAAGGAACAGGTCTGAAGGCGATTATTGCTTTCTTCCCTTTTGGATTCTCTCTCCGGACTACTCAGCTTGACTGCAAGGATTTCTAAATATTGTTACCTCTTAAAACCAATCTTCTCTTCTCGCTGTGCGCACACACCTGGCCCTGCCTTCCCCCCAGTCCCAAGCTGGGTGTTAACTGTTCTCGAGAAAAGCAAAGGGGAAAAAAAAAATCAATGAGCAAATTCTTTGAGGGGGGTGCAGCAAAAGGGGAAGAAGGCATCTGTCCTTTGTGGCTGACCGCGTTTTTTAAACACCCTGTCTTCTTTTTCATAGGGTCCCACAGCTTGAGTCCTATCCTCCCAAAGTAGAATCTTAAAAATGACATGTCCCACCCTGGCTGGTGTGGCTCAGTTGATAGGAGGGTTGTCCCGAGGACTAAGGGGTTGAGGGTTTGATGCTGGTTGGCACACATGCCCAGGTTGCAGGGCATTTGAGAAGGTGGTCAACAAATGTTTCTCTCCCGCCCCCCCGCCACCCAACTCTCTCTCTCTCTCTGAAAGCAATGGAAAAAAAAAGTCCTCTGGCGAGGATTTGAAAAACTACATTTCCCAACTTTCCCCAAGCTAGATTCAGGCACGTGATCCAGGTCCCACCAATTAGACACAGACTGAAGGCTGCTTTGGAAGTAGGCCGAGAGAGGAAGAGGGTTTGGGGGTTGTAATGCTGTGGCGGAGGCCTTGAAAGGCCGCGCCAGCTCCAGTAGTCACGCGGAACGCTTTCGTCGTGGCCGTGCGCGCAACTGCCGTCTCATCAACCCAGTCAGAGGCCTGGTTCTGAGCACTGACCCTGCAGGTCCCGCCTTGAGACCTCCTCCCTGGTCTGCCCCGCCTACTTCCTCTCCTAAGGTGCTCTTTCCCTACTTGACCCGAGGTGATCGACCCTGCAATCTGCAGCTGAACACAGCCTGACCCAGCCGGCACACACGCATTTGTGACTGGACTTCGCTTGCAAACAAGAGTTCGAGAAAGCTCCCCGATAAAGGGATGGTAATCGTGACCTGGGCTTGGAACCCAGCAGCTCCCTGAGGTCAGGTTTCAGTGAGCGGTTCTGGGCTCTCAGGACTCAATGGAGAAATAGATGGTTGCATCTAAATCACAGGGTCACATCAGCTCCCATGAGACAATCAAACAAGTGGAGGCCTAGAGGGGGTTATTCCAGACTGCTGGACATGCCACCGCCATGCCTGTCCTGTTGGAGGGCAGATCCTTCGGATAGGGATTACCCCTTCCTGATCGCCTGCATGGCAGACGTAACTGACACAGTTCAGGGCTGAGTTCTTGGGAAAGACACCCAGGGGGCCCCAGAAGTGCACGGTGATCAGTGAAACACGTTTCACGTATTTCCCCGAGTCTGGCTCGGTATCAGATGCAAATCAACGTGGTTTTAGAAGGAACTAGATAGAACACATCACATCTCATGTGGGTCTCTGACCATCAGAACAGGAGCAAGATCGATGTCTTTACAGTTTCTCGTGTGATTTCCCCAGACAAAGGAAATCCACGCAGGTGGCAAAAAGCTTTTAGATCTGCTAAAGTGTGAATGCCACGGTCAAAGTGGAACTAGTGAGTGTCACGAACCACAAGGCCACATTCTCTGAAAACAGAAGGGAATCTCTTGAATTCATCTTCTCCTTTTGCCACGGATCTAAATCTGGCTACGGGAATTACTTAAGACCAGAAATGAAATATTGAAGAAGCACTGCTACTTAAATATACTCAAAGGGAGGTTTAAAATATGGTAATATAGAAACTGTTAAATGGTGCAGAGAAATCTGGTGGCTTTAGGTGTTTGAATCTCAGTTCCATCTGCTATGTGACACATGGACAAGTCACTTCTGTAATCCTGTGTTTTCTTTCTTTTTAAAAAAGATTTTATTTATTTCTTTTTAGAGAGGGGAAGGAAGGGAGAAAGAGAGGGAGACATAATGTGTGGTTGCCTCTTGAGCGGCCCCTACTGGGGGTCTGGCTGGCAACCCAGGCATGTGCCCTAGACCGGAAATCAAATGGGCGGCCCTTTGGTTCTCAGGCCGGTGCTCAGTCCACTGGGCCACACCAGCCAAGGTTGTTTCCTTATCAATTAAATGATAATGCTTATTCTCAGCTTATCAGACTGTTACGAGGAGAATATCAAGAGCCTTGGCAAAATATCTGGTCATGGCTGGGGCTGAAGAAATGGGAACCACTAAGTGATGCATCCAGCCAGCCTCTACCTTCAACTCAGTCTGTAGTCCATCTGATGGTCATCACAGAGCATGAGCGTCTCGCAGTAGCCTTTAGAAAGTCTGTAAGTCACTACCAGGATTCAGTCAGTGGCTTTCCCATGGGAGAACTAAAACTTCAGCCTGCCCTCTTCCATGAGCATGCAAGTTCATTATCAAGTTTCTTTTATTACTCTCTGCCACACTGTCCTCTCATCTGAAATTGAAATAAGAGGACCACCTGCCCTTTGGACAGTGTGTTTAAGCATTTATTGGGAATGGTAACAGGTCAGGGGACTGGAAGATAATGGACACATAGCCTAGTGCAGAGAGCATTAACTAGAAGACTCTTTACGGACAATTATTCACAGCAAACAAACTTAAACCCAAAGATGCTGCTGGAAAACCACGGGTTTAGTCAAGGTTGAAAGACACAGGAATGGTGAAGGACTTCGCACAAAGGAAATCCTGTGGCCGATCCAGGGGAATCGTTGCCCATGGAGCAAAGTCTCTTAAGGGGTTCGTTTTGCTTCGTTGAGAGAGGCTGCCGTTGTCATTGTCGTTCCGCTGGGGTTTCCTTCCTTCCCATTGAGAGCCTGGAGCAGAGAGATCTGCAACTTAAAAAAAAAAAAAAAATGTTAGCCCTGGCTGGCGTAGCTCAGTGGACTGAGCACGGGCTGCGAATCACAATGTCGCAGGTTCAATTCCCAGTCAGGGCACATGCCTGGGTTGCAGGCCATGGCCCCCAGCAACCACACATTGATGTTTCTCCCTCTCTTTCCCCCTCCCTTCCCTCTCTAAAAATAAATAAATAAAATCTTTTTAAAAAATGTTAGAAAGAGTTAAGCAAATGTAGTTAGCGACGCCGAAGTCCGACGCCTGAAGCAAATCCATTCCCAACAGACTGCCAGCACCACGTGAACTAGTCAGAAAGATAAGCTCCCAGGTCACCCAGACCTACCAGGCTGAAACCTGGCGGCCAGGGGGAGGGCGGGGGTGGGGGTGGGCAGCAATCTGTGCTTGAACAGGCCCCCAGGTGATTGCGACTGAGTGTGTGAATGCTTGAAGCCCGCAGCTGTCCCTGAGAGAGAAATGAACCTCCTCCTTTTAGGCAGCCACTAGATTTGGGGGCCTTTTTTTTTTTATATGAGCTTCACTTGTACTCTGATATGACTCAGGTATATTTTGACTAATGTTAGCAATTAAATATATTATCCCCAGGAGGTGTTACTAAAGTAGGAGTGGGGTAGGGGGACTATTAGGGAATGTGGGGTTTTAGTTCTCACTTGGCAATACCTCATTACACAAATCAAAGCTCGTTTATGAATTACACAATCACACACCACAAACCCATGACTATAACGGGTAGTAGAATGGGCAACTTGGGAAGAGAAGGTAATTTGGGTTTCTGCCAATGCTAAGTGTGTTGTCCAAATTAACTAAGACTGAAGAAAGAAGGAAAGCTATCATTTAAAAATACTTCTTTGTTCTCACACAGTAGCCTTTGCCCACTGAAATGAGGAGACACTTCTCACCTAGAGCAGAGCTTAAATTACACTTTTCAAGAGCACAATGCTGGAAATTCAGTTTCCCCAACATCCAGACTAGCCACTTGTTCCTAAGAAAGGAACCGCTGATTTTTTTCAAACCGGTTATTATCTGCTTTGTGGCTCAGTTGTCTTGGCCAGGTGCTAATGAGGCCAGGGCCTGGGGTTCGATTCCCACACATGCCAATTTTCTTCACTCTCCTCCACGAGCCCAGGATGCACTATTAAGCATTGCCCACCTGCCTGTAAATGCTGCCATGCTTCTGGCATTATGAGATGCAGGTCGCAAGAGGGGTCAGCTGACGACATAGGAAAGGATCTATAGAAGTCCTCCCCCTGGCAGAACATATAGAATCAGAGCAGTTTGGCTCAAGGGAGGGGAGGGGAGGCTGCAAGGAAAAGAAGAAGCCTGTATCCCAGGAAGATCAAGGACCTAGAGGCAGGAGGGGGAGGAGGAGGAGGAGCCAGGGTGGGGCACATTCCTCTGTTCTTTCACGGAAACTGTCGGGGTAATTAGAGGATTGTCAGTGATTCTGGGTTGCATGTTGCTTTTCCTGTATTCAGAGCTTCCTTTGGAGAAGTTCACGTATTAATAGATAACCCCTTTCTATTCCCCAGCCTGATGTGATGGGACAGTGGTAGCAGTCCCTGAAAAGTGAGGGCGAACTTGCTCATTTCCTTCCTTTCCATGACGACCTCGGCAACACATCCCCCAGACCTCGTTCCTGTCCACCAAGTAAGAGGAGGAAAACCTAAGGCTGCAAAGAACAATGAACTTCGTCAAAGGACAAGAGGAACCCAAAGGCCACCTTCAACCTCTGTTGAAACTCAGCACAACCCACAGGCACATGCAGGATTCCAGAGCTCATCGGCCTCATTGGCCTAAACGCTGGCCCCTGTCACGGGAACCATGGGGTGGAGTTCCATTCATTTTTGTGAGAAGGGTGCAGTTCACAGAAAGCTAAATGAACCTTGAAAATGATTGGTCATAAATGCTGGTAAAGTTCTGGAGCTTGTTTGCCATGACATCACAGGCTAGATTCAGTGCACATTTGCACAGATCTTTTCTGAATTAAGTCAGTATCGCCATCATCAAAACGCAGGAAGACCCTCGGCGTTTCTACCTACAGCTCCAGGAGAGTCGGCAACCAGACTCGATGTCTTCTGTCTAAAGTGGGAGAGGCAAGCGTATGTGGATAGTTCTTAATGTTAAGAAAAGCTCTTCAGCCTCTGAAAAGTCCTGTTGCTAATTCTGGCAATGCCTAGCTAAGTTATTAAACTTCTTTCAAACACCCAGAGATACGTGAATTCCTAATACAAACTATTCTTTCGGTATGCCCTCTTTGTGAACAAGACAGCTGGAAGATGTTCTCAATTTTTAGGACAACGTACTTTCACTGGGGCGGGATTTCCAAAGCCACGGGAGTGACAAGGTGTTTGGGTCTATGCCGATACAAAGCTAACTGTTGAAGTTGCTTTTCATATTAGCAGGGGATATATTCCAAAGGATATATACCAGTTAGTACCAATGTTCGCAATAGCTAATTATTCAACTTGAAGAGGAATGAACCAGGATGGGCTTCCTAAACTTGTAACAGGAAGAACAAGGCGTAACAAGATACAGTAGAAAAGCAAGGCCTGATTATATAAAGGTGACTTTTCAGGTCACGTTAACGACCGATAAATATCGTCCCCTCACAGCATTCATTGTCTGACAGTCCACTCAGTCCATCCCCCGCTGCTGCCGCTCAGAGACCTCGTGGGAGTTGTTCCCTTGGACCCGCCTCCAAGCTTACAGAACGGCCTTCTGAACACGGCGGGGAAGTCTCCATCCTTGAGGAAGGAGTTGAATTGTCCTAACGACCCAAAGTGAGGCAGAGCCAGGTTCGGGATAGTGCTGTCGAGTTCAAGGTGAAGCACTACCGATTAATACCATGATTGTGTGTGTGTGTTTTATGAATGAGCTGTGAAGGTAAGTTCGTGTCAGTATTTGTAAAATTATTTTAGAGGGCTTTTGGATGGTGATTGGCATTATTCTTCAGACAAAAGAGAAGGCACTGCTGTTGGCCATCCATCCACAGGATGTCCCAAAAAGCACTTGGTCAAAAAAAGGCTTGGCCGGCCAGAAGCTAAGAAGTCAATCACAAATTCCAGCCCTGTGATCCACCAAAAAAGGGGGGAGCTGATCATACACCACCTGTGATCCCTATCGCACAGGTGTGGGCAAGAGACCCACTCAGGGCTTTATATGGAATTGTTATCTATTTCTGTGTTGGCTGATTTAATCCAGATTTTTTTTTCCTTCTCAATGTTTCTTGTAGAGACATTGCCTAATGCAAGAAGTGAATTTCGAGTCTGAATTTGAGTTTAGCCTAAAGACTCCACAGTGGAGGCACAGACCTCCCTCCGGAGGAGAAGCTGAAGGTTGGCAGAGCCAGCCCGAGCCTCTGGAAGGGATGCCAGTCAAACAGTCAGCCCCGCCCAACAGGAAGGAGCCAGCTCCCCAGGCCCCGTGGGTGAGAACAGTGTTGTTTCTCATCAGAAGTTCAAGCAGCAAGGTGCTACTGCGCCCTGTGTCCTCCCCCTGTCACGTCACTGCGGACCCGGCCCCAGCAGATGTCTGTCCTGGTGGCACGCTGTCCAGGCAGGCAGCACAGGCTCTTGTCCCAGTGTCACCAGTGAAAAGCTGTGTGACTGCCTTGGTTTCCTCACCGAGACTCTATGGTGGAGAGAACAGCAGAATCTTCCTTCTCAGACTGCTGTGGGCATTGGCAGACAAAAAGGAGGCAAGCTGCTCTTCCCAGTGCTTGGGGCATAGTAACCGCTCCCTAAAATTAGGTATTATTATTATTATTATTATTATTATTATTATTATTTCTAGTATTCCAATTGTTTTTGCCTTTTATCATAAATGTCATGAATACTTCTTAACAGGTCATGAGAAACACTTAATTTTCAGCTGCTTCGTCTTCTTCCCATGCATTTTATTCTTTGTTGTAACTTGTTTACTGTCCTTGTGTCTAAACAATGCCAGTTCGGTAGATTGTTTTTCCCAATCTTCCGTAAAATCACTTACAGGACAAGTCAGCTGCCCTCAGGTATGTGCACCAAGTTTTGCCACATTAGGATGAAATCCAGACTTGGGACATTTTGCATGAAAGGTCACCAACAAGAACCCTGTCTTTTAAAAACATCCACCAAGAGGCCCTTCCCCAAGTGCCCATCAAAAGTAAACCATATCTGCAGGCCCACGGGGATTTACTCAAATATGGTCTCACTGTCAAAATGTTCTGGTCGGGCCTGGCAGAGTCCAGAAACATCCGTCAACACTCAGTTGCGAATACACACAATTGCTCGCAAAACCCCTGAACTGGGTTTCTGGACCAACAGCGCTGATGTGCTAAGAGGAAAAATAATCTATTAACGTTGAAAAGCAAAGATGGTGTGGCAACTGTCTCCTGATTTCCTTAGTGTGCACTGGCGTCAGGCTAACGTAGTGTGGTGGCTGTGAAGGCTTGCATGGTAAAGAATTTTATTCTTCCCTGAGGGACTGTCTTCTCCTTTCAACTCTCCCCAAGCACCTCCCACCCCCAGCCCCAGCCCCACCCCCTCCTCCCCAGCAGGTTTTTGATACCTTTGGGTCTTGAACTTACATCTCTCAAGTTGCTGCTATCCTCGGAATCCCAAGTAGACTGGAGAATACCCAGGGGCGCCCCCTGGAGGCGACTGGTGGCTTCTGGTCCCCTTTCCTTCCATGAGGCTTAGCAAATTCCTTGCAGCCTCTTCCCACAGAATGTACTCCCGCAGCCGGTGCCTCGGGCTCCCTCCCTCGTCAACATACGCCGCGGACTCCGCTGTGCTCTTTTTCCCCATCAAGTGCCCTGTAAAAACCAAGAAACACAAACAGAACGCCACAAATGTAACCCAGAGGAATAAATGAACGAGAAATTTAAAAGGACTCCAATTATGTTTGTGCTGCTTCCTCTTAAATGCAGAATAAATAGCATTTTATTACGAAGAGTTAGTTCCGAAATGGCTGGTTTTGCTTTCTGTTCAAAACGCAGAATGGGCTGGGCAGAATTCAGACGTGCAACTCTGGAGCCCTGGGTTTGGTCCCAAGCCCTCTGCTAATGAACGGGGTGACCTCTGCCCAGCCATTCAGCGCCCCCAGACTTCAATTTCTCCAGCACAAAATGAACGGGTTGGACGAGGTGAATTCCAAAAGGAGCCATCCGCATCTGAAATTCTGTCGCCAACTCTGTGTGCGCCGTGTCCCATTCCCAACTGAATGGTAGAATTCAAACGCCTTCCCCCAGCCAATTTGAAACTGCTACTGAAAAGAAAGGTCTCAATGCTTTTCTTTGTGCAATTAAAAAAAAAAAAGAAAGACAGAAAGAAAGGTGTTGCTTATCTCCTCTCTGGAATACAAAGGCACCAAAGGAATTTTTCATTTAAACTTTCTCAGAATTTAGCCCAGGTTGAATCGAGGCAGAGCATCACCTAGAAATTACAGTTTTAAAGCAAGTAATGAAAAACCAGTTGAAGACAAGTTCTGACCGGGCAGATCAATGCAGAATTTTCTCTGGGAGGTCTAAAATGGGCAGGGAACGGCTGTCAAAGTTCCCACGTACGTGAATAAAAGTTGCTGTGCAGAAGGTCGGACCACCGGAAACACAGACTCGTGTATGCGGTGGAGACAGCCACCGAGTCGAAGGAGCTGGGGAACTCAAGGTCACACGTTAGCCTGTTGCTTAAACAGACTCACGTTATCTTATACACTTTCTTCCATTGATTTTCCCCATGTTTCTATAATCAGCTAGTATAGTATCTTCACATTTCTGATAGTAATAAAACTATAGTGCTGTTGATTTAAAGTGCACACAGTAAGAGCTCTCTGTGGCTCCAGCATTGACTGGCATGAGAAGTATTTAAGGCAAATATCATGGGACCGACGTTTGACAGACGTCAGGCACACAAAATAGAAAGGGGCTCCTCCCCGGCAGCTCTCGGCACCAAGGGAAGCCCTCGCCGTGACCTCGTTGCCGGCAGGGGATTGCAAGGTACTGTTTCCGGGACGTTTAAATGCAGACCATCATCCCATTGGATCCACTCTGTAGTAAGTCTGATGGCAACGAGACTCGCCCAGGGTCACATACATAGAAGCAAAGATACTAGGGTTAAAATCAGCTCACCGTCCAGACTCGACTATATTATGATGCCTTGAAGTCTTTGAACTTCCTAAGAATCATTGTGGAGTCTGGAAATAAGGATAAGGTCCACAAAAGGCTTCCTAATGTTATTTTTTTAAATAGAGATCTCACAGAGGCCAGTCCTGGCTGGTGCGGCTCAGCTGGCTGGAGGATCCTCCTGTAGACTAAGAGGCCACAGGTGCAATAGCCGGTCAGAGCACATACCTGGCTTGCGGGTTCAATCCCTGGTCATGGCACATAAAAGAAGTCAATCTCTCTCTCTCTCTCTCTCAAAGCAATGAGAAAAATGTCCTCAGGTGAGGATAAAAATATTTTAAAATAAGGATCACATATCCATATGCCATGACTCATTCATTACGCGACTCAGATAACTAATTCTGTGAGTACTGGGGAGTCTTAAAATGACATTTCACTGCATAGCAGTGTGAGAGCTTGGTCAACTCGGTGCCCGGATATCCGCCAAATAAGCTGGCATGTAGCCATAACAGTGATTATGTTGCACAACTTCCCAGGAAGTAACAAGGCACTTGGCTTTATTTATACGGAGGAAATTGAATCATGACAATGGGAGAGCAAGATCAGAACCTGATGCTCCCAGTAATCACCTCGGTGGCTCTTGCCTACCATCATTTCCTATCATCTTGTTAGCATGCTAGGAAGGAGAAAGGCATTATGGCAATGAAACAGAGGGGCAATGGAGATGCTTTTACAAAAGAGAATTTCATTGTCGTCATGCCTGAATAATTTTGTGGACTTTGCTAAAAACCATTCTGTGATTGATTTAACGTAGATCCTTGGGACATTTTTTTTCATTGTTAACATTTGCATATTTGGTGGGTGGGTAGTGTTCAGGCTCCCACCCCCAGATTCATAGACTAGTCATTAAGGAAAGGGCACCATCTATAACGTCCCAGGGAAGCGTGCATTCCTGGGTCCTGTTTCACTGGTGAGCCGGCAACTGTCAACCAAATAACCATCTCCATGGCAACATGGATGATATGCCCACTTCCACCTCTTTTCCCATCATCTTTTTTTTTTATCTGTCCATATCATCATAATGGAGACCTCAGCATAGACAAAGACAGGCACTTGAAAAAATAAAATCATGCCCAGAGAGAAAAAAAAATGCTTTTGTCCTTTATAATCAGTTAAAAAATAGCACTAAAATGGAGCATAAGTGATTCTCTTCAACTCAAAACTTGAAGACTACCCTCCTAACTCAGGAAACGACCCATTAAGACAAAGTGCTGAGTACTTCTGGGAGCTAGTTTTTCTAAGACCCTTGAACCGTATTTCAGTTGCTGGAGTGGTGCTATGATGTCAAGCCATTCCGTGCTGAGTGCAGGTATTCTAGGTCATGCCTCACATCGAAGTAAGAGCCACCACCAGGGCCGGCGTCGACCGATGCTTCCGTCATCCGCCCCCACATACCCATACACACATTTCCAAGAACTTCGAGCCAGGTAAGAATTTGCTAAGCTTTCGATCTGATAACTGGCATGCCATTGCCACACCACGCTTCTCTCAATGGACAGAAGTAATTCACTTAACAAACCTGCAAATTTGTGCCAACAGCAATATGAAGCTTTAGTTTGAAAATAATTAAAATGAAACGGCATGTCCTTCATGATGGAGGATGACAGGCATTTACTTAGGACAGTGGCAAGCTAAATATCAAAGCGAACACTATTCAGGCTTGTGAGCGCTCTCCCCAAGGCCAGCTTTTCCTCAACCACAATGTCATTTTAGACCCCCGTGTGAGTTCCTCCTTCTCCTCCCGCTTTCCTCAACTCCACAGAGCCAGCCAGGGGAGAAAAGGGAAAAAGAGTGGGTTTGAGAGCAATAAGAAAATTTAAGGTTCTCACAGGTCCATGTGCTTTCGGTAAGGAATACCCAAGCACCACCAAGGGTGATGACAGGCCAGACACGCTAAGTATCTGAGGCCAGGTGTGCTCTGGAACTACGGCAATCAGGGCTGGCTTACCCCGGGAACAATATGGCTGCAGTTCCCCAACTAACTCTCTTCTCCTCCCTCTGACCTGCAACGGTTACCTAATAACAGAGCCATTTTAAGAAAAGATTTCAGTTAGTTATTTATGTTTAGAGAGGGAAAGGGAGGGAGAAAAAAAGGGAGAGACACATCAATGTGTGGTTGCCTCTCGAGCACCCCCCACTGGGTACCTGACCCACAAACCCAGGCACGTGCCCTGACTGGGAATGGAAACAGTGGCCCCTTGGTTCACAGGCTGGCACTCAGTCCACTGAGCCACACCAGCCAGGGCAATAGAGCCTTTTTAGTACAAAAAATATGGATGAGCCAAAAGAGGTTGGAAATCCGGAAGTTTCATTTCACCTTCCCAGCCCAGCAGCTGGTGGCCAGACTGGACAATGGCCACTAGCTCTAAGGCCCCAAAAGTTCTTTCAAGTATCAAGTCTAGGTTCAGCTTCTTTAACATCTTGTAAGTGTCCTCTCCTGAGGATGGGTTTTTGCTGTTGTTGTTGTAACTTCACATCCCCCCCTCCCCGCTCTGTGCCCCCCCCCCCGCCCGAGTTCCCATGTCCCTCGGAGATGGAGAATGCTCTCATCCCTGAGGCTGCTGGACTCTTCCAGCAACAATGAAAACTACTGCCGCGATCAGGAGCTTCCCAGTCCTCTGATGGAAGCGTGCACAGCCCGGAACCGCTGAGGGGGTGACAGTTCCAGCCTCCCCCTCTCCCATGAGTCCGTGGGGACACCACACAGAGAAGCTGTGTGGCTGACAGGGTCACAGGTGTGGCTGACACACGCGGACTAGCAAGTATCTTTCCAACACACCTCCCCCACTCTTAAGTAGATGACTAAGGAAACAGACCCAAACACCACCACCACCACCACCACCACCACCCTTAAATCTCCTCAGGGATGAGCAGCACCCCAGGAAATGTTGGGGTTGCTGTAGTTGGCTTTAGGGGGAGGTTTCTGAGTACATGAAGCGCTTTGCATTTGCCAGAGGTTATATTTGGCGTGGGCGGAGAGCCCCAGGGTGACGCTGGGTGAGCGCGAGGCTTCAGAACCACTACCTGCCTTCCAGTTGCGCGCTGGGGGCGCTGGGGGTCCTGGGGCCAGGAGGAGCGAGCCGTCAGCCTGTGCCTGGGGGGGCAGGACTTGTGGGCAGAGGAAAAGGGAGAGGAGCCAGGGGAGCGGGTGAGGTCGCGAGTCGAGAGAGGTGGGGAGGAGTGGGGCTGTGGGAACAGAGAGGCCGGGATCAGCGTGGAGAGCAGGCGCCATCCCCGGAGTACCGCGCCTGCTGGATAGAAAGATGGAGGGTTGGGCAGAAGGGCAGAAAAAGAAAAAAAAAAAAAAACAATCGCTGCAGAGACAGAAGAGGGACTGAGAACATTCAGAAGAGCCACAGTGGCGGGATTCGGGCACTGCTCCCTGAACACATTTGAAACCCAGAGCGGGAGTGCGCGCCACGGGTCCCCCACCTGTGGCTTGGCCAGACGCAAAGACTCAGCCTGGGTTCACGCGGGACGGAGTTGAGGCCCTGGGTTGGACCAGGGCTCCGAGACGCGCTCGAAGACCCAGCTCCCCTAAATTGTTCAGGGAGAGAACAGCGCAGGACAAAAGGAGGGCTTGGGTAGGTGCGGAGGGAAGGTCATCTCCCTCGCCTAGAGTTGGGAGTTTTTGGAGAGCTGCGCTCTGGGTCGGTTACCCTGGGGAAGAGGGAAGACCTGGGGACCAGGACGGTCCTGCTGCTGCTGAGAGACGGACGGCTTCCCAGGATGGGGAAGGGTGGGGTGGAGTTTGGGAGAAAGGGGTTCGTGTTTGGGTAGAAAGATCGGAGCAAACCCAGTCCCCAAAGCCGGGCCCCACAAACGCTGAGAGATGGAGAGGCGGCCCCCAGCTCTGGCTGGTCCCGCGGAGGACTAGTGCGCGCTGGACACTCACCCACCGCCCAGTGGTTGCCTCGCGGGTACATCTTGGCCAGCACAGTCTCTCCGGCAGCCGGCACCGGGGCGGCGGACCCCCGGGGTGCCTGGCACACGACCAGCACCAGCAGGACGAGCGGCAGCTCGCGCATGATCCGGGCGGGACGTCCTGGGAGCGCGCCGCGAGCTGAGTGGAGAGTGCGCTCTCCCCGCCGAGGAGCGACCGCAGGACCAGGACCCGCAGGAGCTCCGCCGCCGCCGTCCGCGCCACTGCTGCAGCCTCCGCCAGGCCCCGACTTTATACGCGAGCCGGGCGGGGGGGCCCCGGGGCTCCTCCACCGTGGACCCGAGCGCTCTGACGTATCCCTACAGCGAGCCGGAGCGCCTGGACAATAGTCCCCGAAACCCATCCATCTTCCCGCCGGGTAATGAAACGGCTGAGTGTACATTGTCCCTCCGCCTCCCCCGCATTAGATTCATTCTTCCCATCCTCGACGCCTTCGCTCCAACACAATTTAGAGAATTCCTCCCTGTCTAGCCTCACCTGGGCTCCTCCCCGTTAGCTGCCTCCCGATCCCGCAACGGGGGAGGGGGGGGCGGGGAGGGGGGTGACCCCGGGGCCCGATCGCAGCGGCGGGGGCTGCAGAGAGGTGAGCTCGAAAGATGAATTGCTTTGGGTTCAGCTCTGCTGGAGGAGGGTTGGAGCTGGGACTGCAGAGACTTCGGACTCTCAGGTGTTTTCCACTCCGTGGACCCCGGCCCTGTTCGCAGTCCCAGCCCACAAACCTCCAGGTGCGTGTCTCCCCCACCCCCAGTGCCTCTCTCCACCACCACCACCACCAGCAGCAGCCGGGTTTTCCAGGTGCCCCTGCCCACTTGTACGTGGATGGAGACGGAGGACGGGACAGGGAGGATGGCTGTCCTACACACCTGGCTCCTTTCGCCAGCATATTGCATCCATGCAATAGAGGAAACGTTGATGCCAATGTCCCTGGCTGCGTCTCCCAGAAAGCTCCCTGTCCCTCAGCTGCTATTCACACACGCGTCTCCAGAGTTGCCCACCTTCCCTCTGCTCCTTCAGTTCTGGGATGTGAAGGGGGGTCACAGGCCCTGCTCCCTGTGTTCTCAGTGCCATGGATACCAAGGGACGGGCACCATAGCAATGGCACAATAAACAGAAGCTGGTAGGATGCTGCCGCGCCTTGGGCTGCCAGAGCTGGGGGTGGATTTGCGCACTCCTGCAGGCCTGTTATTCCTCACCAGTTCTGGTGAACTGTCTCTCTGGACGATCCTGGGTACTGCATGTCAGTGCTGGTGTTGATACCGGTGAGACTGAAATCGCACGCTTTTTTCAGAATATTCGGCGATTGGATGCCTGTGTGCCATTCTTAGATGGTTACACGTGCACCTTGCACGTCTGAATACTCCGAGGTGTTTCCATGCCCATGCCTGGCTAAAATGTTAAAAACAAAAAAACTGCCGATTTCAAGATCACTGTGAGTAGCCGAGGAAACACAGTAACACACGCAAAAATCAAAAGGAAAAAGTCCTCAGCCAGCCTCGCCTCCATCCTGCTGGGATCTGGCCTCTGCCTCAGATCCCAGGGCTGGGGAAGCAGGTGCTGCCCTGTCCGGAGACCGTCCGCAGGCCCTGCCTCCCACTTGGCCATGAGCTTGCCTGAGCACAGGGACTTGGCCTTGTCTCTCTGTGTGCCGGCAGAGAGCCTGGATCAGAGGGGTTCTTGGTGAGAATTGGACGAGGGAACGTCTGACCCAAGAAACGCTCAGGTCTGAACACCTCCTATTATACAACCCCGGTCTTTAGAGGGGCATTAAACCCGTGCCTCTCCAGATTAAGTTGTAGAAAAACACGTCTTTTCCCCTTAGTTTAATCAACATTATGTTAGAATCTTTAAATTTCTGCTCCATGAGGCTGAGGAAAAACCCTTGTCAGTACGTTAGCGGGTGGGAACAGTGCTTCGGAGAACGCAATTCTGCTAACCCAGGCAATTCACCATGTATGTCCGTGTATGTGTGTCTATGGCAGGCCAGGAGGCACCCCAGTCCCTCCACCGACCTCAGCTCTTGCTCCAAGCACCCCAGCACCCAGGCTTTCTGCACCCAGCCTTGGGATGGCCTTTGACTTGCTTCGGTACCCTGCAAGGGCAGCGACTGCAGCCATATTGCACAAGGCTGCGTCCACAGTGCCTGGCCCAGTCCTAGGCCCAGAGAAGGGATGCAATAGATGTGAATGGCTGCAGTGGCCCCTCCCCTGACCGGACCAGACCAGGTAGTGAACTGTTACCAGTTAGAGAAAGAAACCAATGCGTGTTTGACTCGGCCAGCATTGGACAAGCCGCAGGAGACCCTGGCTGGGTGTCCTTTTCTCATCGCTTTTGAAATCTTCACCACAGCCCTGCCAGAGAGGACCTGCCCACTGGCTTCGTTAGCAGGGAGCTAAACTGCCATGGGACAGAACGCTCACAATGCAGGGCCACATTCAAGAGAGAGGGTTGTTTCCCTCTTTCACTGCGGTCCGGGGCAGGTGTTCCTGGCTGGCAGGCAGCTCTGTCCCAGAAATACACGCATACTCAGAGACCTGAGTTCATTCCCTGTTCATTCTTGTGTCTCTACTATTTCCCGGGGTGTGCTCCTCAAAGGGCTGGGCCTTGAGAAGACAGGGAGCTTGCCCCAGCATGTACATCAATGCACCGCTTTTTTCATTAAGGACCCGTTCCTTCAATAGGGACCCCTTACGATGGAAACAAACCTCAGTGGAACTAAACAATGATCTCAGTGACTTGCGCTCTGACACAAACTCCTTTGTCTTGCCATGGGGGAGCCCCAGAGCATCGGAGAAGGAGCCGCTGGTACACGGGCCACACTTAATTAGCACTGCCCTAGTGTGCTGTCCCCAACTGCATGACATGGCCAAGATAGCAGCTGCCGGGAAGGGGAAAGTGACACATACCAGCCGAAATGTAGCACTTAATCTCTTCTTCTCATGTTTCAATGGTCAAAAACCCAGCCCCATGGTCACAGGAAATGGGGGACCAATCCTTCCGTCCATCACAGTGCGGAGAGAGCAGAGAGAAAACAGATGTGAAGAGCAACAGCCGGCAGTAGAACCTGGCCAGTAGGGCAGTGGTTATTCATCTGGGGGGGCGGGGGGGGGGAGACTTCCAGGGCCATGCCCCGCGGGCCCTTCTCTCCGCTCTTGGGTTTTCCTGGACATCCCATGGCTACTTCCCCTGTGGGCTTCTGACTCCACCGGGCGTGGAATACACATCATTTTAGATCTATAAAGAATTCAGGCCCGTTTCTATCTTATCTCTTCTGCAGGGAATGACTCTGTGATGTGATTTTTTAAGTATTTGTTTTATTTTTGATTTTACAGAGAGGAGAAGGGAGAGGGAAAGAGAGGGAGAGAAACATCGATGGGTTACCTTCCGCATGTGCCCCAGCCTGCACCAACCAGGACCCAAGCATGTGCCCGCACTGGGAACTGAACTGGTGACCTTGCAGTGTGTGGGACAAAGCCCAGTCAACCAGGCCACACCAGCCAGGGATCTGTGATGTGATTTTTAAGGGTGTTTCCCCAAAGGCTCGGAAGGTCTGGTCTAATCGGGCTCGCCTGCGTGCCGGTAAGAGAGACCACTTAAACTAGCTGGAGCAGGGTGGGATTTGTCAAAACACAATGGGAGTTCCAGGAAACTCAAAGAGAAGGACAGGTGCGGTTCCTCTGGATCTCACAGGAGCTAGGGCTGGCCCTGGACCCCCAGAGGTGCCCCCCGCCATGCGCTGTTCCCTCCCGTCCATACCCGCTCTTCGCTCTGTGGGTTACTGACTTCGCTGCCCACCGCTGGGTTTTCCTCCCCACTTGACTCCAGCCACTCCGTGGCCACTGCGTCCTCAGGGGGCTTTTCACACGACTTCCCGTCCTCTGCCTCCGCTGAAACTGCCGCCCCCTCTCGGTGCCCCGATCCTGGTTTCCCGGAGAAAAAGGCCTCGGCTGGCCCAGCTCCTTCTGTTGACCCAGTCACACAAGTTAGAGGTTTCTCCGCAGCTTACAGAGGAGGGAGTCTAGAATGTCGCATGAACTCTTGTCCGGGGCTGGGAACACATGTGACAGATGCGGCGCGTCCACTCCACAGGGCCCTGGGCAGGGCAGCCTTCCCCTACGAGCAAGGGGCAGGGAGGGCCCACGTGTCTCTGCGCAATGGCCCTTCCCCCCAGATCCTCGGGTGCTGGTCGTTTTGTGCCTGACGGTGTAGGATTCATGCGGTTTCCTTCTCACACAGCGGTTCCCAGACTTTTTGTCACGAAGGGCATTTTTTATTTCTCCCATGGAGCTCGGGTTGGACCTTCTACTGTGAAACAGGCCGTCTTGTTTCTATTTCCCACTTTTGTTCATCAAAGACGTGAGGAACCACCCATCGGAGTGTCTCCTTACGTTGAAATAACCCGTGTTACCATGGAGGGTTGAGGTGCACAATTCCAGCTTAAATCCACGAAACCCTGCCTTTTAGTTCATATTTCAGGCTTCATCAAGAGAAAATGTATGTTTTCAGGGTGGCTTTTTGAAATATGGAAAATGACTCGTGCGTCTCTCTCCTTGCCCTAAGGGTATTCCAAGTTGGGAGTCACTTTTGCTGTAACTGCTCGTTTATCCACTGGCGCCTGCAGAGCTCTGAGGTCAGGCCTCGCTGCAGGGAGATGCCCCGGGTCCAGGCAGAGCGAAGACGCAGGCTGAGAAAGACAGGCAGGGCAGAGAGGAGGGTGCGGGCGGGGGACAGCGGGGTGCTGGTGTCCTGCCCATGCATGGGTTCTAATTCTGCTTCTGCCACAAGGAGCTACTGTGATAGGACCGCAGACCAGCCACTGAGCATCCGCATCACAGTTTCTTCATCTGTAAATGGAGTTGGCAATACCTCTCTCCCTAGGGTGTTAGGAAGATTATGTGAGGTCATGTGTAGCTACTGATGGGCAGCTACTTATTTATTTTCGTCAATAACAATAGAAAACTATAATGAGGGCTAGCTAATTTTCATCTTAGATTGTGAGGGGTTTTTTTAAGGATTTTTTAAAAGATTTTATTTATTTATTTTTAGAGAGGGAAGGGAGGGAGAAAGAGAGAGAGAGAGAAACATCAATATGGGGTTGCTGGGGGCCGTGGCCCACAACCCAGGCATGTGCCCTGACTGGGAATTGAACCTGTGATGCTTTGGTTCACAGCCCACTCTCAATCCACTGAGCTACGCC